GCTGGTCGAGGAGAGGGCGGGGGCAACATCGAGGTTTGCAATCCCGTTGCCGGTCTCCGGTCCGGTACGGGGGCAACACTGAGGGTTGCGATCCGTTGCCAGACACGGAAAAAAGACAAAAGACAATCAATCAATCAATCAATCAATCAATCAATCAATCAATCAGATAGATAGATAGATAGATAGATAGATAGGTAGGTAGGTAGGTAGGTAGGTAGATAGATAGATAGATAGATAGATAGATAGATAGATAGATAGATAGATAGATAGATAGATAGATAGATAGATAGATAGATAGATAGATAGATAGATAGATAGATAGATATAGATAAAATAAAATAAAATAAAAATCCCACCAATCTCATGTTTCAACTTACCTGCTCATAAAATTCATTCACAATGCCTTCTGTCCATTTCAAATGCAAGTCCCGGACTTTTGCTGGGCCATTTATATCTGCCAGTTTGATGCACACCTGACATACTAAGAGGCGGTCATTTTCACTACTCCATTCTATACCATTACTATTTACATCATTGGCCTATTTTGGAAAAACAAAATTACTTTAGGTTCTGAGGGCACAGGAATTTTTTAAAGTTGTCTTGTTTCCTTGTTTTTACCAAATTATCTTAAAACTGTTTCCTGTCCAAGTGACAGGAAGAAATTTCAGTAAATGCTTCTTTTATCAGTTTATGCCATAACACAAACCTCTATGAGTTAAATTTCCCTTTGAAGTATTACTGTAATTATAACTATAGCTTTCTAAAAACATAACCAACCATGGGTTTAGATTTATAATCACTACAATAGTTATAATTACTACAGAGATATTCAATATTGAATATTTGTAATTACTACAAAGAATCATAATTTAAATGTGTATACATGTATAATAAGTTTACGTAGATACATGTACTATCAGTCATATAAGAATTGTAACTATCTTTTTGACCTCAAAAAAAAAAATAACACGTAAGAAGCTAAAGAGAAGTTGGCTCTAGCTGTGAAAGGCAACATGATATAGTTGAAAGAACACAAGACTTAGATGCTGATCCCAGTGGTTTTAAATCCTGCTTCAGAGTGATTTACTAACTCAGTGTGTGACACTGGAAAAATTACTTAACCTATTTGAATCTAATTTTCTTCATCTATGAAATAGGAAAAGTAATACCAACCTAGCCATATTGCCATTAGGATTAATAAATAAAAAATACCTAGTTCATAGTAAATGCTAAGTAAATATTAACTAACACATTAAAATAAGTGATAAATATTTTTATTTTTTATTATTTTTATTATTGGTTAGACAAATTAGTGTGCCTTTCAAGAATTCAAATTTCCTTTTGTGAAAAATGAAGAGGATGGGCTAGATCATGGCTTTTGGACTTTAGCCTGATAGTTGTTTTTCTGGCACCAAACCCTTTTATTAAAGGAAAATTTATGTAGAACACCACCATAGAAAACACTTTGATTGAAACTGGGTGGGAGGTCTACAACCCCACTCATGTAGCATTTTCCTGAGAGACTTCAGAACAAAAGTCAAGTCGGAGGAACCCAGATTAAAAAATAGTGGGTTAGATGATCTTTCATCTGTAAAAGGCAATGTAAGCACTTAAATAAATGTTTATTATTAAATAAAAATAAAAGTAAACAGACCTATACAGCTATGAAATAATTTTAAAGGCACCCTAATTTCTCACTGATTTTTATAGCATTTTGTTAATATCATGACAGCAACATGCACAGGGGTCTCCTTCCAGCGTAAGTACTAGTACTAGTACTAGTGTTCCTTTGTTACCAGTTTCCCTACCCTGAAGGTACAACTTGTTCTGCGTCACAAAAGTCATCAAGAAAACAGCAGCTTCCTGCTAGCCAAAGAGGGGACACTATTCCTTCACAAATCTAAAGCAGTGGTTCTCAACTTTTTTCTACCCCAGATGTCTGAGGGACAGAACCACTAGTACCACTATCATACTATGGCAGTGAATCTTGATTCCCTAGTGAATGAGAGTTCTTTGAGGGGAGGGACTTTGATCTGTTCTTTCTTCATTTTTCCCTAGCACAATGACTGCTCATAGTGGGCAATCCCACTAAACAGTTGTTGAATGAGTGAATTATTCTCAAGTGAAAGAGGGTACTTTCTCCTCCACACTAGCCAGTTAGAGAATGACTAAAATAAAGAAGGTATGGGTGAAGCAAGGTAGGAAACTGTCTTCTTAGAAATACATGTTTAATTTCATATAATGCCTTACTTGGCACTGTGCATGACTTTCTCAAATCTGCCCCTAAAATCTTTTGACATAATTAATTGGCTTGTTATTATGTGAACGAAAATCACATATTAAGTCTATGTGTCAAAAGGAAATATAACAAGCAGTAGTATTTTAGAACATGTTATAACAATAAAAATGTTTTATTTTTTAAAATATGGGCATATATATTATTTTATATCAATTATATATTGTTACTTCATGAGTTAGTATTAATTCTAACTTAACATTAAAAATCACCTTTTATCAGTAACACCGTCAACAATGATTTGTATTTTAGAAATTAGGCACAAATTTGCATAACAAACCTTGGCATTGAATTCAGCAAGGAAATCAAAATGCTTTTTAAGATCTGTGGCAAGAATTGCTTCGATGACTAAGAAACGAAAGCGCTTGAATTCCACATGATCAAGATTAAGAAGAAAATTGTATTCTGGGCGAGAAAGATATAGATTCCAAGCTGATGCAGCATGATGATTTTCTAGAACAGATCTGTCATTGTACAAAACTGCCTAAAAAGGAATAAAGAAAAATGAAGAAGGCATCTCAAAGATATTAAGCTTTAATAATTCATAGAGTTAGCAGCAGGCTGGAAGAATACAAACAATGAGTACCTACTATATACAAGGCATTTTACAAGGTATTTTAATACCTATGAAAAGGGATTGTGATAATTTCATAAATAAGTAGACTGAGGTGCAAAGAGGTTAAGGTATATCTTTCTTTTCAGCATATAAAGCTAGTAAGTGAAAGGGTTATTTGTTCCAAAGTTCATCTTCTTTGCAAACACCATGCTGCCTCCCAAGAGATACGTTGATATTTTGAGCTCTCCTTCATTCAGTCAGTAAACCTTCTCATATAAAACTTCTGTTAACAAAGTCATTAGGGATCTAGAGTGGGTTTAGGTATATATTTCCGTTCTTCAGCAAAGCATGGAATTATGGTAGGGGTGACTGAAGAGAAGGAAGCCAGAGTGCTGTCCAAGGTAAGTTAGAGACCCTCATGTCTGAGAAGGACATAGCCTGTACTCCCATCCTGACACAATGCCTGGGAGTAAGAGAGAAGTACAAAACAGGTAAAAGCACAAATCCTCTGGTTCAAATGGTGTGGAACGCTCACTTATTCTCTACCTCACTCCAGTGGAAGACCCTGAGGAGCCTCGTCAGTACTCTAGGACTTTGGATACAGATTCAAAACCACTGGAGTAAAGAATTTCTAAAGCCTCTTCTACCTTCAAAATTAAACAAATTTTAAAATTATTAAATAAGCACAGTGATTATTAAAAGAATTTCCTCAGCCAAGTTGTGCTAAAGGCTGGGGATAAAAATAATAACCCTATTCCTGTTTTCGTGGAGTTTACTGTCTAATACGAAAGAAGGACAGATTAAAAATAGGATGTGCTCTCAGGCAAGATACATATTCTTTGAGCTTATCTAAGTAGTTCTACTTATTATTTGTGAAAATTAGCTATAGCCTAGATTTAAGTAATGTTTAAATTTAGGTAAGCAATGATATGATTTAAACTTTGCAATGGGCCATATAAAGGTATTTAATACTAACTTTAATACAACTTCTAAACATTATAAATCCCAAAGAGAAAGAGTAAGCTAGTGGGTCAATTTACATTAAATAGTGGTTTGACTAAATCATGCTCAAATCTGATGAAGACTGATAAAACTATCAGAATAGTTTTGTTGGGTTAGGAATAAATAATTAAACTGCCAGCTCAAAAACACACAATGTACAATGAGTGCCCTGTGAAGCTAGCTGACTTAATAAACTCTCAGCTAGCAATCACAGTAAAAGGAATGAGTTTTTGATTTTTTGCTGGCAAGATGGCTGACTAGAAGTGGCCAGCCCTTGTCCCTAATGCAAAGAAAGTCCAAAGCAACAAGGAGATAGTAACTTGTAGAGTGTGTAGGAGAAAATCAGAGAATCCAGCAAAACAGTGAGGAAAACCCCCCATGATCTGGAAACATATGTCTGATGTTCAAGACAGCAATATAGAAAGACAGGAAGAACCTGACCAAGACCAACACAGATGGGAAAGACTGCACTGCTGGGACAAGGTAGGCAAGGGGGGTCCACAGCCAGCATTCTACCATTCTATATATATTCTATATATATATGCACCCAATATCAGAACATTCAGATACATAAAGCAAATGTTATTGGATCCAAAGGAGAGATAGACCCCAATATAAAAAGAGTTGGGGATTTCAACATGCCTTTTCTCAGCATTGCATGGCTTACCTAGACCAAAAATTAGCAAAAATACTAGATTTAAACAGCACTTTAGACCAAATGGACTTGACAGACATTTACAGAGATTTCACCTGACAACTGCAGTATATCCATTCCTCTCATCAGCACACAAATCATTCTCCAGGATAGGCCACATTTTAGGCCATAAATCAAGTCTCAACAAATTTAAAAGTACTGAAATCATATCAGCTAGTTTTTCAGATTACAATAAAACTAGAAATGAACAAGCAGCAAAAGTTTGGAAACTATACAAGTACATGGAAATTAAACAACATGCTCCTCAATTACCAATGGGTAAAAAAGAAAGTAGGAAATAAAAAAAAATCCTGACACAAATGAAAATACAAGCAAAACTTACAAAAACCTACGGGATACAGCAAAAGCAATCATAAGAGGGAAGATTATTGCCATAAGTGCTTATATCAAAAAAATTGAAAGATCTCAAATAAACATCCTAATCCAACCCCAAAATTAGTAGACAGAAGGAAATAATAAAGATCAGAGCAGAACTAAATGAAATAGAGACCAAAAAGAAGAAAAGAAAACAAAAAGATACAAAAGATCAAACACAGTAAAGGAAATGAGTAAGTTTAGGATCCCTTCACCATTCAAATTGTCTTTTGAAATTACCAAAGAAATATAAAATGGGGCAAAAATCAATCAATATTAGAATATAGATATGATCTCCATACTGGAAACTTCAAAGATATGGTGAAAATGAGAATGGATTGAGAAAAGGCCAACTAAATCACTGCATAAAAAGGAAAAACCCACCTGATGAGTAATAGTAATAGCAGGGGCCCCCTGAGGGACCCTGATTGACTCGCTAGCTCCTCTAGCTCAGTGGAGGCAAGAAAGAATCATGGGCCAGTAAATAGGAAGCAAATGTCAATTCTACTTTAGGAAGACTACTTGGAGGTAGCACATAGAGCAACAGACCAAGCTTAAACTTAGTGAGAAAAACATGCGGTAAAACAATGAAGCCACAGCAGGCTCTTATAAGTAGAAAACAAAAACAGTGCCCCATCTAATTTAGAGCTGCAATAAACTATCAACCTTTGACTTTGTGTGAAAGCACTTTGGTACTTCTTTCTCTTGGTATAGATCCCTTCCTTCTCTCCACAGACAAATACATCCATGACTGACAAAGCAAATTCGTTGATCAAAACCTTACTTTTCACCCTCTGAGCTGGAAAGATCTGAAAAGGTAATGTTAAATACAAACTGACAGAATCTTAACAAATAGTAATACCTCTCAATAAATATGAGCAAAAAGAGAAAACCTATCAGACATATGAAAGACTTTGATCAAACAAAGGAAGAGTCTGACAAATGTAAACAAATGTCCCCTTGTGAAACACAAGAAACAGGAGGAAGCATTAAAAAATATCTTGGTCATATTCATGAGATTAAAGCGCCTCAATGTTTCTGAAAAGTGAGAAGTTATGGATCAATAAAGATTATTCATTTAAAGAAATAACATTCCCAACTTTTAAAAAAATCCAGTAGAGGTAGTAAACAAATCTGATGCTACAAACAACAAAGCCACTAGTTATATTAAAAAAAAAAAAAAAAAAAAAAAAAAAAAGCACTTCTCTTTAAAGAAATAGTCCTGATGAACAGCTATCATTTTGGGATTACTTTACCCTCAAATTCTGGGTTTGTTCTAAAACGTCTTAATCTCATATCTTCCTTTGTCTTTATCACCCTTGTCTGGGTAGATATTTAAGGAGAGATTCCCTGGACTTTTACTTCCAATGCTTGTATTAATTTTTTAAAACTTCTGCAGTCATATTTTTAGTTTCTAAGAATTCAAACTTGTTCATTTTTCACAGTTTCCTGTTCTTATTTTATGGATGCGAATTTTTTCAAAGTCTCTGAGAATACTTTTTTTTAATTAAATGCTTTTCTAGTCCCTCGATTATCTTTTCCCCCTGTGGTCAGTTATTCTGCTCATCTTAGCCTTTTCTTTTCAAGCTTCTGGTTAATTTCATATGTCTGGTGATCCTTGGTTATCTGTTGATATAAAAAGAGGAATTCTAGATTGCAGGTGTGACTTTCATCTACTTGCATGTTTTATTGCTGAGTCTCTCCCCTTTGGAAGGATATGTAGAAACTCTAAGAATATGGATGGAGCTTTTTACATAGCAGGTTTTGCTTTAGAATGACCAGACTGGGTGTCATCTGTTAAATTTCTGCAATGAGAAAGATTTACTCCAGAGTACTAATACCTACTCTAGTAACTCTTATTCTCTCTAGGCAGTTTGCTTCGATTCTCGTAAGTTTTCTTTCTGGAGGTAAATGCAGAGTTATAATAGCTCTGCTTAAAGGTGTGTACACACACACACAGAAAGAGTAAATGGACAAATGGCATCAGGAGTCTCTCTGGGATTCCAGCTATGTTGTAGCCTCCTTCTAATATACTTTTGTCTTATCTGTCTATATGTGTCCATTTGTTTTTTTCATTTTCCAAAAATAGCATGAAATTTTTTGATTTACTGGTAATAAAACACTTCTACTTATTCCTCTCTGTTGTAATAAGCTTCACACCTTACTGCCATTTTAATGAGTTCTTAGGAAGAGAAGGAGAGACAAATGTATATGTTTTGTCACCATGCTGATCCATACTTTGGGGGACAAAACATATTTATGACTATTTTCAGATTTACAAATCTCAACTTAAAATTTTGTTTCCTCCTACCCCAAATCTCATAAAAATATTCTGGAAATTCTAATATCTCAAGCACTAACTTCTATTTTTCAACCAATTTTTCATTTGGAAATAGCTCAGAAATGTCTTAGAATCTTAATATTGACATCTCTCCAGGATATACCTTACTATATGCTTCACCTTCTTTCACGGCAAGAATCTTCCTGTGTCTTCCCAGCACAGTTCCCTTTGCATGAGAATGAAGAAGAATGCTTGATTCAGTTGGTGGTGTTATATACTACTGTCTTTCTATAATACACTGGAACTATAAGGTCTGACTAGACCCCCTGAGCTTCCAAAGATGAGAGAATCTACTTTATTACCTAAACACATTAAGCCTTAGGCTTTCTCACGAGAGTCTCTATCTCACAGGTGGTAACTGAAAAAGGCCTTTTTTCTTTGGGAGGAATAGCAGATATTTAAGAAAAGTTAGCTGTACTAAAGAGCAAAGAATTCAGGCATCCTTCAACATTCAACAAATATTTACTGAATGCCTTTTGTGTGCCAGGCACTATTCTAGGTATTATGGAGTAAAAAAGACAAAAATTCCTACCCTCATAGAACTTTATATTCCGTCAAGTAGAGACATAATAAACAAAATACATAAACAAAATATACATATGCTAAATGACCACTGCTCTGGAAAAAATAAAGCAGGAAAGGAGTACTAAATAGTTCTAGGAAGAGGATTTTGGAATTTTAGATGGAAGGAGGCAACAAAATGAGCCATTCGGATATCTGGGAAAAGAGCACCCTGGACAGGGAGAATAGAAAAGTGCAAAGGCTCTCAGAAAGGGAGTGTGCCTCGGATAGAGAAGGAATTAGCAAGGAGGCCAATGAGGCTGGACTTGATTAAATAAGAAAAGAAAAATTAATGGGGGCCTAATGATGTAGGGCCTTGTAAACCATTTTAATGACTCTGTCTTTTACTAGGAGTAAAATGAATGCTGTTGGAGAATTTGGAATAGAGAGTGATGTAACACATTTAAACAGGATTCACTCTGGTTGCCATTTGCTGAGAACAGACTAAAGGTGAGCAGGGAACAAGCAAGACTAGGTAAGAGGCTACACTTTCTCATAGCTTAACTCTAATCAATCTGCTTTCTAGTCTAGCACTTCCTATTGCTTCATCTACTGGCAATTCTTAACGATGAGAAGTTGGAAACAACACATGATTATTGATACTATGTTCAGACTTCATGTTTGTACTTTGATTAGGGCAACAGTTATGAGAATGCAACTTGTATTCATGTATCATTTTAAATTATCTGCATGTGAGAGCATTAATACTAGAATTCACTCATCTGTAATATCCTTGAGTGATAGGTAATGAGCAAGTCCAACTCACCTATACTCAAAGCAAAAGAAAGAAGGAATAAAAGCAGATAGTAAGCTAGAACAGTAAATAATTCCTGTCTACATGATCTGATTCAGGAGCTTCTCACAACATCTGAAACAGCAGAAAACTTTCATATGTTATCTTTATTTACCCTTACACATATGAGATACATATTTTTAGGGTCAGAGGGATAGACCATTACTTGAGCTCACAGAGCTAATAAGTGGGCAGCCAGAAATTAAACACAAATCCAATCTCAATTAAACACTAGTCTTAATCTCAAGTCCAGTGCTTTTTCCACTGTGCCACTACTCCCTACCTCTATAATTCACCAGAAGACTAGGATTTTCAAAGATTATGATATGTTAGTTTAGAGAGAATAGGCATCTCATTCTTGTAGAATAATACTGCAAACGGAGAAATACATGTTCCTTAGAGGGTAGTTTCTCCCAGAACAATACTTAGAAAGTGGACAAATAGATTTTGTCCAAAGTGCTAACTAGATTTAAATTCATCAGACAGTTAAGTGTAAAAGTGATAAGCTATTACAGTCTCATTAGATAAATGAATTAACATGGTCCTTTTAGCCCATTTACATACACACACACACCATTACAGCCACTCACACATATAAATACCTCCTGACATCTACCTCCCACCAGCACAGAAGGAATATACATCTTAGATCTAGTCAGAGTTTTGTCAATTAGATCAAAGATAAAAATATTGACAGCAAGGACTCCAGAATTTTATAAAACAATGAATCATCATTTCACGAACTATTTACAATTTTATAATTGAAGGTGATTTTTTTCACCTTCTAATTCTCTAGCATATATCATATCAATGCCATACGTTATTATCCAATTAATTACAATGTAGCATCTTAGAGTCAGATGGAATGGCCATATGATTCAGTTGAAAATCGGTTTATAAAAGAATATGCAGCATTGCTTTAAAATTTCAGAACTACTCTTTAAACTTTTTGAAAAAGTATTTCTTACCTGAGGGGCATTTGTAGCCACTAGAAATGCATTTGTCCGCCCTGGGTGATCATAATCATGCATGGCAGCTGCCACGTACAGAGCCATCAATTCTAATGCAGGAATCTTTGAAGACAGGCAGCCATAGCTCTCATCTGGAATAGAGCAGCTCTTTGAAGAAATATAAGCAATTCGCCCAATGTTAATTCTACAGTCAGAATCTGAGGAACAATAAATAGCAAAACAAATCAGCATTAGCACATAACTTCCTCACAATTATACCAAGGAGGGGATTTCCCCAAAGATAATATGATTACTTATTTGTTGACTTAACTACAAAATAGACTCCATGGACTTAAAAGAGTATACCATTTCCAATATACATGCTAATAGAGAATAACAGTGCTAAATATCACCCTGAAGTTGCTTACTTTACAAGACATCTTGATGCTCTCTTACACAGGCTAATAATAATTTTTAAAACCTCTGATTTCCTAAACATTGGTTATTTAATGGCCAGGGCTTAGGATGTAAGAGGAAACAGCAATACTAGAGAATGAAAGTTGATGAAAACTGTACAGAGATTTAGGAATTTAATATATTACCAAACTAAGATTCTCATCATAAACGGTTTTCAAATCTCATCCAGAAAGAATACATTTCATTTGTGGTCCTGACTACAAATCCTCTTCCCCCTCTTTTTCCTTCCACAAAGCTCCTTATAATACAACGGAATGAAAAACTATGGAAAATAAAAAGGCATGGAAAACTGGAGAATGTCTCAGTCAACGTAAATCCTGTTCTCCTGTTAAAAACAATATATTTACTATCCACACTGCTTACCACTGATTTCTTCTTTTTTGTATTTTTGTGGCTTTATCTATTACTTTTGCTAAGGAGATCTTAAGAAAATATAAGATGGAAAAATGAAACTACGAAGCATATTTAGAGTAGACAGCACATAAAAGTACAAAGATGTTAGAGATACACAATTTCCTTGACTGTGTTCAGCAGTGGAACCTAGAAATAATGCCCTGGCTTGTTAAAGTCCAAAAACACTTTTTAATCCTCTATTAGTTGACTCAATATTAGCCATCACAAGAATTTTTTAACATAATGATTTTAATACACTAGTGATCATTATAAAGATACCTCAATATTTATGTGCTGCCTATATTTTGTAGCTGAATTGAGTATTAGAATAACCCACACTAGAGCTATTTTTAAAATAATTATAAGAAATAAAAATGAAACAGTTAAATGTATGGATAAGGATATATAAACAATCAAAGTTCCAATAAGAAAACTTTAATTATCAATACACAGTAAATAATTTCAATTTTATCTTATATTATATGCACTCTGGATTCCCCCACAACTATAAAAACATATTAAAAATATCAAAAATAGCAAAAGACATACTTTAAACTCAGTAATAACTTAGGATCGACATATTTGGATCTTAATACATTAGTTTATAGATGTTTAATGAAAAATTAGTGGTATGAAAAAGAAAATCATCGATGAGGACGGTAAAACATAACTATTATGGATCCCATTTATTTCCTTTCAGAAAATGGTGACTTTTAATTTGCTGACTCATTTAAAAGGGGGCCTCAGTGAAAAGCATCCAGATTGGAAAGGAAGGCGCAAAACTATCACTATTGCAGAAGACATGGTCTTATATAGAGAAAACCCCAAGAAATCCACTGAAAAACTATTAGAACTAATAAATTAGTTCATCAAGGTTGCAGAGTACAAGATCAATGTGCAAAACTCAATTGTACTCCTAACATACTAGTAACAAACAATAAAAATAAGGAAAAAAATTCCTTTTATAATAGTATCAAACAGAAAAAATTCTTTAATAATAAATTTAACAATAGAAGTGAAAAACTAGTATTCTGAAAACTACAATATATTGTTGAAAGAAATTAAAAGGAGATCTAAATAAATGGAAAAAAACCCATGTTCATGGATCAGAAGACTTAATATTGTTAAGATGGTAGTACTCTCCAAATTAATCCACAGATTCACCACAGTCCATATCAAAATCCCCTGATTTGTTTTTGTAGAAATTTACAAGCTGAATCTAAAATTCACATAGGAATGCAGAAATGAATTACATGATGGAGGACTAGAGGTTCCCAGGGCACATTCCTCCCACAGAAGAAGACTGAAACAAGCCTACTGCCACTGCTACCACACTTGCCAGAGCGACTGTCCTATCCCAGAATGTATGCCCATCATAGAGCAGCTCCCTGAAGAGCAGAGGTCCAGTGGGTAGCCTTTTGCTGCTATGGTGGGCTCCACAGATACAAGAGAGATGGCTGCAACCACCAATGCCACTGCTGCCATATCAAGTTAACCCCACTGCTGCCAAGGACACTGCAGACATGAGCAAGACTTACAGCTGCCAGTGATACTGCCACTCCCACGAGATAACCCCACTGCCACTGTGGATACTGCAAATGCAAGACAGGAAGTTGCAGACACTGATGCTGCCATGAATTAACCCCACTGCCACTACAGACACCAAAGCTGCACAGGCCACCACTGTAGACACCACAGCCAAGTGAGTAAATGCCACAAAAACCACTGAAGTTGCCACCACCACCGGTGCTGCCTGACAGCAACCATGTCGTGAGAGCATACATTGCCACTAAAGCTACTGTTGCCTGCCATACAGGCAGCCCGCCAAGGCCACCGCCACCACCACTACAACAGTAAGGGCAGCCTGCTACCACAGCAGCAGCTGCAGAAGCAACTGCCACTATACAGGCAAACTGCTAACCACTTGAAAGAACTGACACAAAGAGGGTCACCAGCGAAGTCCAGGGAAAGAGAGTAATAGAAGAAGCAACTGCTCTACCAGATAACCAGACATCAACACAGAGATACTACAAATAAGAAAAAAACAAGAAAATATGAGTCCACAAAAGGAATAAATGACTCTCAAGCACCAGACCCCCTCAGAGCAAGAAACTCTTGAAATAACTGAAAAGGAATCCGAGTAAAAATCTTAAGCAGCTCAATGAGATACGAGAAGATGCAGTTCAACAACACCATGAACTGATCAAAGCTATCCAAGATATGAAGGAGGAAATCTACAAAAAGATTAATACTTTTAAAAAGAATGTAGCATAATTTATAGAACTAAAGGAGTCATTCAACAAAATAAAAAACACAACTGAGAGCTTAAAAACAAGCTAGAGCAAGCAGAAGAATTTCTGATCTTGAAGACAATTTCTTCAAAATCAGAAGAATTTCTGATCTTGAAGACAGTTTCTTCAAAATAACTCAGGCAGACAAAAAAAGAATTTTAAAAAGTTAAGAAACATCTGAGAGAAACAGCAGACAACCTTAAGTGCACAAACATCTGAATCAAGGGTATACTTGAAGGGAAGGAGAAAGGAAAAGGCATTGAGAACATATTCAATAAAATAATAGTAAACTTCGCACGTATAGGGAGAGACGTGGACCTTCAGATTCAAGAGGCTCAAAGATCCCCAAACAGATTCAATCTAAAAAGTCCTCTCCAAGACATATTATATTATGGTCCAACTGGCAAAACTCAAAGACAAAGAGAAAATCCTAAAAACAGCAAGAGAAAAGTGTCAAGTCACCTATAAGGGAGTTGCAATCAGACTAATAATAGTCTTCAGTGAAAATAAAGACATATCATACCAAAACCTGTGGGATGCTGCTAAAGCCATTCTAAGAGGGAAATTTAATGCAATAAATGCTTACATCTGTCCAGAAACTCTATGGGTCAGAAGAGAAAAGGATGAAATATTCAAAATACTAAAACAAAAAAACCCTGCCAGGCAAGAATACTAAAACCCAGAAAGGCTATCTTTCAGAAATGAAGGAGAAATAGTGTATTTCCCAGGCAAACATAAACTATGAGTTTAGCACCATATGACCAGCCCAACATGAAATCCTCAAGGGAATCCTGGATCTGGAATCCAAAAAATGATAATCACTACCATGAATACACAAGAAAGAACAAAACCCACAGGTAATGCAAACAAGAAAGAGAAAAACTGTATTTTACAAACTCTAGAAATCGACAAACACCAAAGAGAAACAATAAAAAGGAAAGAAACAAAAGATATTTGAAACAACCAGATGAAAATTGATAAGATACCTGAAGTAAGACAATACCTTTCAGTAACAACTGTACATGTAAATGGATGAATTTCCCACTCAAAAGGCACAGACTGGCTGATCACATTTTAAAGCAAGACCCAACTACATGCTGTCTACAAGAGAATGCACCTCACCTGTAAAGATACACAAAGACAAACAGTGAAGGGATGAAAAAAGATATTCCACAGAAATGGAAATAGAAAACAAGCAGAAGTAGCTATTCTCATATCAGATAAAATACACTTTAAACTAAAAACCATAAAAAGAGACAAAGAAGGCAACTATTTAATGATAAAGGGATCTATCCAGCAAGAAGACATAATAATCATAAATATATATGCAGCCAACACTGGAGGACCCAGATATATAAAGCAAACATTGTTAGTCCTAAAGAAAGAGAAAGACCTAAGTGCGATAAAAGCTGGGAATCTACACATCCCTCTTTCAATATTGGAAAGATCATCTAGGCAACAAGTCAGCAAAGAAACACAAGATTTAAACCACACTTTAGACCAATTGGATTTGGCAGATATCTACAGAACATTTCATCCACAGAATATACATTCTCCTAATCACCACACAGAACATTCTCCAGGATAGACCACACATTGGGTCACAAATCAAGTTTCAACAAATTTTTCAAAATTGATATCATTTCAAGTATCTTATAAGAACACAAAGGACAAAAAAAAAACCGGGGGTGGGGGGGTGGGGAAGAAGATATAAGAACTATACTTCCATGAAGTTGTTACAACAAGCAAACGGAAAGGACATTCTTGGGGGGGAGGGGAGAGAGGGAGGAGGGAGGGAGGTGTCGGTGACGGGCCATAATAATCATATACAGTGTATATTGACAAATAAAAAATAAATAAATAAATAAATAAATAAAAAAAAAAAAGAAACCATAAAAAAAAAAAAAAACCAGAAATAAATAAAAAGTGAAACTCTGGAAACTATACAAACACATGGAAATTACACAACATGTTCCTGAACAACAATGGGTCCAAGAAAATAAAACAAGGAATCAAAAAGTTTCTTGAAAATAGTGAAAACAAAGATGTATCATACCAAAACCTGTGGGATGCTGCTAAAGCCATTCTAAGAGGGAAATTTAATGCAATAAATGCTTACATCAAAAGAATAGAAAGATTTCAAATAAACAACCTAACACTGTACCTCAGAGAACTAGAAAAACAAAACAATCCAATCCCCAAATTTGTAGAGAGAAAGAAAGAAGATCACAGCAGAACTAAATAAGATAGAACCCTCCCCCCCAAAATACAGAAGGTCAATGGGGAAAAAAAAGTTTTTTGACATGATAAACAAGATAGACAAAACATTAGCTAGGCCAAATGAAAAAAGAGAAAATACCCAACTAAAAAAAAATACATATGAAAAAGGAGAAATTAAAACTGATATCACAGAAATACAAAGAATCATTAGAGACTATTATAAATAACTATATGCCAATAATTTGAAAACCTGGAGGAAATGGATAAGTTTTTGGACACATACAAGCTAACAAGACTGAACCAAGAAGAAATAAAAAACATGAACAGATCAATCAATAGAAGCGACAAGATAGTATTGGTAATCAGCAGTCTCCCAACAAAGAAAAGCCCAGAACCAAATGGCTTTACTGCTGAATTCTAACAAACATTTAAGGAGGAAGTAATATCAATTCTCTTTAAACTAACCTAAACAACTGAAACAGAGGCCATTCTCCCAAACTCATTCTATGAAGCCAGCATCACTCTGATACCAAAACCAGACAAAAATACAACAAAAAAAGAAAACTATAGACCAATATCTTTGATGACTGTAGACGTAAAAATCCTCAATAAAATATTAGCAAATAGAATAAAGCAACAAATCAAAAAAATTATACATTGCAATCAGGTGGGATTCATCCCAGAGATGCAAGGATGGTTCAACATATGCAAGTCAATAAATGTGATACCCCACATCAACAAAATCACTGACAAAAACCACACGATTATCTCAATAGATTCAAAAAAAAAAAGCATTTGACAAATTCAACATCTCTTCATGATAAAGACTCAGAAAATTAGATATAGAAGGAAAATATCCCAACACAATAAAAGCCATATACGAAAAACTCACTGCCTATGGGTAATCATCCTGAATGGGGAAAAGCTGTCATCTTTTCCTTAAGAATGGGAAGAAGACAAGGATGCCAACTCTCACCACTCCTATTTAACACAGTATTGAAGGTACTATCCGGAGCAATCAGGCAAGAGAAAGAAATAAAGAGCATCCAGATTGGAAAAAGATGAAGTCAAATTGTCCCTCTTTGCAGATGCCATAATCCTATATATAGAACAACCAACCTAAAGACTCTACATAAAAACTCTTAGAACTATAAATAATATCAAAAAAGTTACAGGATACAAAATCAACACACAAAAATCAGTAGCATTTTTACACTCCAACAATGAACTAGCAAAAAAAGAAATCAAGAAATCTAGCCCATTTACAACAGTCACCAAAAAAATAAGATACCAAGGAATAAATTTACCAAGGAGGTGAAATATCTCTACAATGAAAACTACAGATCACTGTTCAAAGAAATTAAAGAGGACACAAAAAGATGGAAAGACATTCCATACTCTTGGATTGGAAGAATTAACATTGTGAAAATGTCCATACTACGCAAAGCAGTCTACAGATTCGATGCAATCCCCATCAAAATACCAATGACATTCTTCACAGAAATAGAAAAAACAATCCTAACATTCATATGGAACAAAAAAAGATCCCGAATAGCCAAAGCAATCCTGTGCAAAAAAATAATGTCAGAGGCATAACACTACCTGACTTCAAATTATACTACAAAGCTACAGTAACCCAAACAGCATTGTACTGGCATTAAAAACAGATACTCAGACCTATGGAATAGAACAGGGAACCCAGAAATCAACCCACATACTTACAGCCATCTGATATTTGACAAGGGCAACAGGAGCATATATTGGGAAAGGACTGCCTGTTCAATAATAACTGGTGCTAGGAAAACTGGACATCTGTATGTAGAAGAAGGAAACTAGACTTGTACTTCTCACCCTATACCAAAATCAACTCCAAATGGATTAAAGGCTTATATATAAAAGACCTGAAACTAAAAGAAAACATAGGGGAAACACTTCAGGAAGTAGGATGGGACAAAGACTTTATGAACAAGATCCCCCCCCCCAAAAGCACAGGAACAAAACGAAAAATAAACAAATGGAATTATATCAAGCTAAAAAGCTTCTGCACAGCAAAAGAACAGTTAATAGAGGGAAAAGACAATCTACACAGTGGGAAAAAATATTCACAAACTCTGTATCTGACAAGGGATTAATATCCATAATATACAAGTACTCAACAGTAAAAAACAACTAACCCTATGATAAATGGGCAAAGTTGGTGAATAGGCATTTCTCAAAGGAAGATATGCAAATGGCCACCAGACAAATGAAAAAATGCTCAACATCACTAAGCATCAGGGAAATCAAATCAAAACCACACTGAGATATCATCTTACTCCAGTTACACTGGCCAGTATCAAAAAGACAGAGAGTAACAAATGCTGGCAAGGTTGTGCAGAAAGGGGAACCCCCCGATACTGTTGCTAGAACTGTAAATTAGTGAAGCCATTATGAAAAACAGTATGGAGGCTCCTTAAACAACTATAGATAGAACTGCCATACAGTCCAGCAATCCCACTGCTGGGTGTATAGCCAAAGGGATGGAAATCATCATGCTGAAAGGATACATGCACTCCCATGTTTATCACAGCTCTATTTACAATAGCCAAGAGTTAGAACCAACCTAAATGTCCTTCGATGGATGACTGGATAAGGAAAACATGGTATACTACTGAAATACAATGGAGTACTACTCTGTCATAAAAAGAAATGAAATTCTGCCATTTGCAGCAACATGGATGAACTTAGAGAAAATTACGTTAAGTGAAATAAGCCAGGTACAGAAAGAGAAATGCTGCATGTCACTCATAAGTGGGAGCTGAAAAGAAAACAAAAAAAAAGAAAGATACAATAACCAAATAATTCCTTCAATTTTTGAAAGGAGAGAATGGAAGTGAGACCACCAGAGGTGGGTAAAGGGGAGGGAAAGAAGGGGTTAGCAAGGAATTGGTAAAGGGCCACAAAAAATGTTTACAAATGTGTAATGATAAAATTAAATAAAAAATAAACATTTTGAAGTCATTATTATGCATCAAAACTCACACAATCCTTTATATGTACCAAAGATTACATAATGAAATTTTTAAAAGAACAGAGGAATTGAAATGAAACAGCTTGATTTATCATTCTTCATCAAATAATTAAAAGAAAAATTTGTAGAAGGAAGTACCTGTTTCATTTCCTGTTCCATGATCATTGTGGATCTGCTGTAAGCCAGGAATTGGCCGTGTTGTCAGATACCAAACTGCATGTAGGACATCTGTGGCATGTATACGATTGTGATCTAAAATCACCAAAATATTTTATAAAAATGATTATTCTGTTAGGTCTGACATAGGGCATTTAAAAAGTACAAGAATTTTCTACTCATACTATATTCTCAAAAATAAAACATATGACAGAGCAATTTCCCACAACTGTATTTTGCCCCATCTATTTTTAAAGTCTCTTGATGTGTTAAAAATTTCTCTTTTAAAATCTTCTGCATATACTATGAAATCACAGCAAATCAAGGATAATTTAAAGGCATTGAAGAATTTTTTTAAGTTTGCAGTTTTGTGGCTTTTAAAAATATCAGGTAGTATCTGGATTATGGAGATACATGTTTGCACACATAACAGCTTTTGCACACAGAACATTTACGAATTCTGAGTACTTATACTTTTGCCCCCAAAAAGGTGAGAAATACCTATCTCTCAGGTTTGCTATAAGGATTAAATGCTAAATGATATGTGAAAGTATCTAGAACAGTGTCTGATTACATAGTATATGATCAATAAAACACTGGTTTACTGAAATACCACCAAGTGAAACAGCAGTGTGGCATAGTATAAAGAGTATACACTTTAGAAGTCAGACCTAGAACTGAAACGCAGCTTTGCTATCTAGAAAGATCCTTGAGTTTTTATTTTTCACCTGTAGATAGTAAATAATACAACATTTCCAACAAAAATTAAATGAGATAACCTAGATTAATGATTATGGTCACAGCAAATATCAAATAAAAATTCAACACTTCAACAAATATTTAATTAATACTTACAATATAGCAATAGCAGAAGACATAATACTACATGTTCAGACTACAGACATGACATGATGTCAATCCATTATAAGCTTAATTATTATTAATATAATAATCACCTTTTATTGACCATCTACTATGTGTCACAAATTCTGATACTGTGCTTTATATGAGTTATCTTATATAATCACCTTCTGTGGGGTAGGTACTATTTGTTATTCCCATTTACAAATTTGTAAACTAAAGTTTAGAAAAATTAGGTCCAGGGACTATTTTCTTAATCAAAACATAGTTAAAAACAGAAATCCTACACATAAATTTTAAACATTTTAAAGTGAAGAATTTTCTGAAACTCTTGACTTAATATTACCAAACATTTAAAAAGATAAGGTATTCAGACATAATTATTAACATAGAAAAACGTATAGTATGTAACAATTAAGTGAAAAAGCCAATTATAAAAGGTGTCAATATTATGATCTACTTTACAAAAAAATAAATGAAGTTTGTTGCTCTAGGATGATAGAAGTTGATACATAATGAAAGTCTTGGAGGATATATACCAGAATGTTAACAGTAGTCAGTTAACCCTAGGTAGTAGGATACAGATTTTCTTCTTAAATCTATTTAAAAATTTTCCAAACATGTATTTTAAAAATGTTTAAGGGACCATCTGAAGAGAAAGATAAAGAGTTTCAAAACCAGTATTATTTGAACTTAAATAATAAGATATGTTGATACTTACAAGGAATGTCTCGATAGCCATTTTCTAATGCACGAAAATAGTTCATGAATTGTTGAGTGGGAATTTTAAATATTTCCAATAAACCAGTGTCTTGAAATAAGATATACATAACCTAAACGTCAATTAAAATAAAGATCACCTTAAAATCAGAATTTCTATTTTTACTAAGTATAATGCTTTGTAATTTGCATTTAGTAATATTAACTATGTGTATGTCTTTAAGTTAATAATTTGTTAAAAACTTCCCCACAATTAATTCTTTCCAACAAAATAAGATATCATCCTAGTCTCTGAAACCAGAAATAGCCACCTTTTTAAATTTTTCCATTCTTCCCTTTAGCTTTTTATTAATAATTTACTGAAGTGCATGTGAATTCTATTCTAGTCGTAGGTGTTAAGAAGTCAGAACAATATCATTTTTATCACATTTTTGTCCTTAAAGACTTATGATAAACTTATATGTCCTCCATATAATTTATCCTTATAATTTTGCATTTAATAAATAAGATATTAAAAGAATTAATTACTTTGGAAAGGTTAATCTGATACTGTTATGTGGACCCACTAGGTAAAACCCTGAGTCTGGGTGGTAAAATGGAAGTATTTTTCCATGGTTATAGTGTGAAATAAACCAATTGGCCCTGGGTAAGGTATAGGGAGGGCAAGTGAAAAAAAATAAACTTTAACTTTCAGTTAGAAATAGATCACTTTTGGGGCCGGCCCAGTGGCGCACTGGATAGTGCGCCGCTTGGGAAGCGTGGCGGCGCTCCTGCCCGAGGGTTCGGATCCCACATACAGACCGGCTCCCGCTCACTGGCTGAGTGAGGCGCGGGTGCAACACCGAGGCTTGCAATCCCGTTGCCGGTCCCCGGTCCGGTACGGGGGCAACACTGAGGGTTGCGATCCGTTGCCGGACACGGAAAAAAGACAAA